ATATTGTTGTTTATTTGAGATAAGCATGGAATGGATGTTTTATATAGGTTTTAAATGAGTTAAACTGTATATGTATGTTATATCTACAAATATGTTGGGTAGAACATGGGTAGACGAATTAGATTTAGTACTGTAAAGATACTCCTCGGTAGCTATGGATTTACTACTGTATAGATGAACCTTGGTAGCTATGGATTTAGTACCGTATAGACGAACCCTGGTAGCTATGGATTTAGTACTGTTAGATAGACGATAATAACTATGGACTTAGTACCTGTTAGATAAACATTGGTAGCTATGGATTTAGTACCCGATGAATGAACCATAGCAGCTATGGAATTAGTTCTTTACGAAAGAACCTTGGCAGCTATTGTCTTAGTGCCTAATAAAGAACCTTGGCAGCTATTGTCTTAGTGCCTAATAAAGAACCCTGGCAGCTATTGTCTTAGTGCCTAATAAAGAACCCTGGCAGCTATTGTCTTAGTGCCTAATAAAGAACACTGGCAACTATTGTCTTAGTTCCTAATAAAGAACCATGGCAGCTATTGTCTTAGTGCCTAATGAAGAACCTTGGTGACTATGGAGTTAGCGCCTGTTAAGTGAACCTTGGTGACTATGGAGTTAGCGCCTGATAGCTATGGATTTAGTACCTGATAGATAAACTTTGGCATCAATGGACTTCGTGCCAATTCCTTAGGTCAATCCTTAGGAACGAATGAATAAAGGATAGTTGATTCTTAGGGTAAAACCTTAAGAAATAAAGAAGATAATGGGGATGGGTAATTGGGTTGATTGTTTGATGATTAAATATAATAATTATATTATTGTGGGTTGAAAACCCTATATGTTCACCAGGCTCCCAAGCCTGACCCACTCAGTTTTCTTTGCATTACAGGTCATGACACAAGAGTATAAGTTGGTGGACTTGACGAGAGATTTTGGATTATAGATCAGTAGTTATAAATAACTGTTGTAAGGTCTATTTTATACTGTTTATGCTTTTAGTCTGTATCGGAACATGACATCTCGAGATTTTGTTATTTAATGAAAATACATTTCTTTAAAGAAATGCTTTGATAAATTCTTATCATATTTTGTTTTGGGAACAAATTCCGCAACTGTTTTCTGTAAACGATTACTCTGATTTTAAAACAAAGCATAAACAAATCGGTCTTTTCTGGCCGAGAAATTGGGGATGTCACATATTATGTGCTTATAATGAGTATTGTGATATCATGCATTATGTCTTTGTGATTTATGTTGGGTATTATTCTGTTCTTACTGAGTTAGGACCGGAGGGTCCTCCCGAGTTGTGGGACCGGAGGGTTCCACTAAGACACATTAACCGGAGGGTCTTATTGGAGTATAGCCATGAGAGGCAATTGATATGTGTGTGGTATTTTGGGGAACTCACTAAGCTTTGTGCTTACCGTGTTATGTGTTATATGTTTCAGGTATTTCTCAGGATCACGGGAAGGCGTCGACTTGATTGTACACACGAGGAGGAGTTATATTCGAGGATCTTGGATTTTGTTATTTTGGATATGTGTTTTGATAAATTAAGTTTTGGAGTTTTTGTGACTTATGTTCATAAACATAAAATGGGATTTTTAAATGAAAAAATTTGTTTGAAAATTTACGTTGTTACAGATCATTTGATTGTTCCAAAGGAGATAGTTAGAGGAAGAAAGTTTGATGGTGATCATGTGGAGGAGAATGTTCATGGGTAAGGTAGTATCGTTGGATGAGGAAGACATCACAACACTGGAATAGAAAAAAAATGACAGCAGGAATAAAGAACAGGAGCTGGAAGGAAGAAAGATCGAGAGGTAGGGAGGGAAAGGGTCAAGACCCACTGACTTCTGATACCATGTGTGTAAGAGACACTTGGATACCCCACAATGGAGGGGATCCAATACTTAAATAGAAAAGAAAAGTGAGCAAAGACTACCTTAAGAATGAGTAAAATCCAACTGAAATAAATACAATAACTTATTCTAGCTATTAGGTTATACTATATTACTATCCAATTTAATCGGACTATAGAGTCCATTTTGCAGTAGTATTTATATTATAAATTAAAAACACCCCACCTATTTTTGAAAATTATAATTAATTTGTGACAAAACTGCAAAAATGTCCCTATGGTATGAATTTTTTCCGGGTTTACGTCCAAACCTCGACTTTTTTGGCTTCGTGGTCCTCTTAGCTATGTTTTTATGTGGAAATGGTCTCTACGAAAATTTAAATGACTATTATACCATTTTATTTTAATTTTTACATTTTTTAATATCTAATTATAATATTTTAATAATTAAAACAATAGAAAGGGGCCACAAACATCCTCTCTCTCTCTCTCTCTCTCCCACCCACCATCACCCTCCTTCCAAAATCAATCAATCAATCCACCCAAGAAAACAGAAATTTTGAATCTTCCCAACTATGGATTTGGCATAAGGATCCGGTTCATACGACCCTGGAGAACTTCCAGGTCCATCGTAGCCTAGTGGTGCAATTGAGCTACCCAAACCCACTGGCGCTGTGTGCTTGTCCACTAAAACAAGCTTGGGGATCCTCGACGCACTTATCGGCCGACTCAGGGCACGTACGAGGAGAAAGGCGGCAATTAGAGTCAAACCGGTTTGGCGCGACAGTTATAAGGATATATTTGATGGAGGTGAAAGATAGTCAAGCCAAGGATAGAGGTATTTCGTATGATTTCTCATGTGTGTGTGTTCATCCGATCTGATTTCGTGTGTGTGTGTGTGTGTGTTCGAATCAGAAACCCCAAACATGTGTGGGTGTATGGGTGTGTAAAGTCGATTCCGGAAAACAAACATATGGGTATGTATTTCAAGAACATGTTTCTGTCAAGGTGTTCTTGGGTGGATCTGAACTCTTTTTCGTCTCTTTCCTCGCTTCAGGAACAAAATCAAAATTGAACACGTAATTTTGTGAATGAAGGGGTTTCTTTGGGTTCATCAGATTTGGATACGATTTTTGTTCTTGGATGTTCATCAGATCTAGATATGATTTTTGGTGAAAGAGGGAAGAAGATGAAGAACACAAACTAATGATGGTGTTTGGTGGTAGCTTCGATGGAGTGTGTGTGTGTGTATGTGTGTGTGAGGGAGAGAGAGAGAGAGAGGTGGGCCCTGTTTTTATTTTTTAATTATTAAAATAAATAAATAAATATTAGATTTAAAAAAAAATGAAAGAAATATGGAAAATAAATACACCAAGGGTATTACAGTCATTTCAAAACTTGGATGGAGCAAATATGCAATGAAACTAGTTCAAAAGGTCCACGAAGCCAAAAAAAAATCGGGGTTTGGATGAAACCCAGAAAAAATACATACCATAGGGACCATTTTGCAGTTTTTTCTTAATCTGTAAATTTTTCACTTAATCTTGCATTTTTAAGATTTCCAAAACCTAGTGTAAGGTTTTTAATAAAAAAAAGGTTTGATTGTGTACAAATGACAATTATTTAAAAAGTTAAAATAATAATAACTAATATTCATAAAAATGAAAATTATAAAAATGAATTATATAAGTGACCAACACTTAACTTTAAAATATAGTAAATGATCAAAATTGCAACTTATAAGGTACCGATAATTTAACTTTGAAATTATGAGGAATGAAAACAGTTAAATAAAAATTGATTTAGGGATAAAAAATGTTTAAGAAATGAAATTTAGGAGGTGGAAATGGAAAATGAAATGAACAGTGCCTTGTGATTTGTAATTAATATATATATGAAATTCACATAAAGTTAAGCACGAAAATATAAAAAAAAATACGTCAAAATGTAGATAAATTCAAATTTAAACGACACGTACATAAAAAACAACTAAATTTTTGAGAAAGAAATTAATAAAACGGAAGTTTTAAATTCACTTCGAAACATAGATCATCTTAAATTTATATCGAAACTTATATAAAAATAAACACATATAAAATCAGTGGCGAGGTTATTTGTTAATATGGTGGGTCACTTGACCCACCTTTTTTTCTAATAACAAGATGTATAAACTTAAAAATTATGACCTGCCTAAAAATAAATAAATGAACGACCTTAATTCCGTTTGTTGACTTGCACCAATTAATTAGCTTGGGCTTTTTTATGCAATAATTATTATTCACGGGTTTTCTTATGTAGTTATTATATATATATATATATATATATATATATATATATATATATATATATATATATATATAGATAGAGGATAGTTCAAATAAAAACAGTAAATATTGTGAGAACGTAAAAACAATTTTTTATGTTATTATTCTACAATTAATTTTGTATCGACAACTTTATGTAATTATTCAGCAAAGAATAAATGAATAGTCAAAGGTTAAAATTAAAATTAGAATTTACTACAAAAATGCACATACATAAGTTTATAATAGAATAATAATATTATAATGAATATATGACTAATCGAAAGTTAATATTTATATTAGAATTATATATATATATATATATATATATATATATATATATATATATATATATGTGGTTAAGATCGGTTGACAACTCATAGTTTTCCGAAAACTAGAGAACTAAAGGTGGAACGTTAGATCAAAATTATCTCATTAAGGACATGATCGTCATGTTACCAATCTAATTTAATGTTTAATTTTTTTTGTGTATTATTCGAAATATTAATAAAAATGCCTAAAAATTGACATAATACACCAAAATTTTGAATTTTTTTAAAAAATAATATTTTTTGTTTTTTTTTTTAAAATGAAAATTTTGTATTTTTTTGGAAAACATGATTTTTTTTAAAAAATTGAAAAATATATTTTTTTTATAAAAACTATAGTTTTTTTAAAAACCGTAAATTTTAAAAAAAAAACTGGAATAATTAAAAAAAAAAACTATAATTTTTTTTACCAAAAATCAAGATTTTAGGTGTATGTATGCATATATTTTAAAGTGCATATATGAATTTTTCTTATACAAAAAAAACTATAATATTCGTAAGTAAATCACCAAAAAAAAAACTCAATTTTATTTACGAATATATAAACACAATAGTATAAGTATTTTATTCGATACAAAATAAAATTTAAAAAACAAAAAATGCTACAAAATTTCAAAGCGTTTTCATGTCTTCGTGTCAAGATTTTCATATTTTCTTCAATTTATCACTTCTCACCTCTTCAATATTTTCCACAAATTCTTCCAAGTCTAAAAGAAAATTAAAAAAAAAATTTGATTTGTGCAAGAACACTCACAAAAATGCATGTGTGCATATAGACATAATTCATATGTGATGATGTGATTCACTTGTGATTTACATGTGATTCATTTGTGATTTACATGTGATTCATATGTCATTCATTTGTGATTTAAATGTGAATCACATTTAATTCATATGTGATTCATTTGTGATTTACATGTGAATCACCTGTGATTTTCATGTGATTTACATGTGAATCACATGTAATTTATATGTGATTCACTTGTGATTTACATGTGAATCACATGTAATTTACATGTCAATCACATGTAATTCATGTCTAATTCACTTGTGATTGTGATTTATATGTGAATTAGATGTGATTCATGATAGAGATTAAATAAAAAATATTCCTTGGCTACGAAATGAAAGTTAAAAATATGAAAGGAATCACAATGGTCCATTCCCATTCCCTCGGGCAAAAAAAAAACAACTTTTTTTCATTTGAATGGAATGAACCATTCCATTCCTTCCCTGAATACAAGCAAGAAGATTACCTAAATTTACCAAATATAGCTCCCAATCAATGAATTATTACAGCTGTAAATGATCAACTTTAGCCCCAAGCCATAGAACACGCATAGTCCATTGTAATTTACCATCAAATCCAAAATTCTGCAGCATTTTGTAACAGCAATTTATCTTTGCCTATTAGTCAAAAAATGGGACATGAACTAGATGCAGATAAAAGAAGCTTACATCATTTTCAGAGCAAAATTAAAAGATAAAATAAACACTATTATTACATCATTCAATTATAATATAAACTTCCATTAGAATCAATAATCATGAAAAAGAGATAAACCTCATACCCATAGGAATATGGTTTGCTTACAAGCTTAATGTTGATGAGATCTTTAGTGTCATCGATATATTCCTTAAGCTACATTTGGATAAATTTCAATCATGTTAAAAGTCATGGTAGATGTAAATCTGTATAGTTGGAGGAATCTTTCTTTTAATCTTTGGACTAAAAGTAACAGTCAAACAGATCCACGATTAGTATATCAGAATCGCACCTTCTTCGATTCCATTCCGTTTGACATCCACGATTCCGGAGTATTTCTCAACAAGTGTTCCGAGTCCTCGGGAGACGTAATCGACTGAGAACATGTGTATTGTTCCATCGGATGATCCGACACAGAGTGCACGAATGATTTAGAGAGATACGAAAGTAAGTAATTACCTCATATTGATCCCAGACTTGATTGAAGGCGACGAAGTCTCCGGAAGCGATGAAGATGTTGACATATCTGAGTACATCAACGATTTCAGGGGAGGATCGTCAGATTCTTTTCTTCTCGGCTCCGACTTTCTTCATTTTCCGTTTTGCTTGACCTAATTTTTTAGTTTTGGTTCCGTAAATGTATCGAAGAGTGAGAAAGAGTAGTTGCCTCTGCAAGGTGTTTTTTCATACCAAAATTGTAGTTGAAGCAACGTGTTTGTGGAGATAGATCCAATAGGGAAAGCCAATAGAATTAAACACTTACAGGGGAAAGTGATGGTCGTTGCAATCGTCGGAGATGGCATCGATGACTCACTATCGTTCGTTGATGTGGATTTCGGAACAGATGTGGCGATTCAGGCGAATAGATTCTGCGAGGTGATTGTGGTGTAGGTTTTAAAGGAGGCGACGATGGTGTAGGTTTGGAGGAGGCGATGGTGGTGATGTTTTTTAGGGGAGATCGGTGGAGTTGATTGTGGTGCTGCAGGTTTTAGAGAGAGATCGTCCACCAGAAAGGTACGATAGTCGGTCTGTAGTTTCATTGAAGAGGGATCTGATAGTGATAGATGTATTCCCTGAATGGGGTCATTTTTTTGTTATCCCTAAAACACCCTCTGTGAAATTTTGTTACTATACCCCCGCCCTTTTATTGATGTATTTATTTACAAAAATACCACAATAAATCTTGACCATCATTTTTTTTATCTAACGGTCCTCTTTTAGTTATCGGGTTCTCGAGAAACTTTGAGTTTTCAAATGATCATCTATATATATATATATATATATATATATATATATATATATATATATATATATATATAACCTTATAATGTATTAAAATTTCAAAAATACACTAAACATAGAAAAGGGGAAAAAAAAGGGCAGTAATCGGAAGAACCGGTCTTTGATTTTTAGTTTCACATTCTCACCATCTCACAACTTCTGTTGAATTGTCGGTCCCCACTCATCCCAAAGTAAGTTTGAGTGTTTAAGAATTGATATCTTGATTAATTTCTTATTGTAAAAAGTTTTTTTTTTTTTTAATTCGGTTACTTAATATGGTCATCAAATCAATTGTTTGATTGCTTTCATGTATTTGTTGAGTTTTTAGTTGTTGTTTCGTATTTCATGATTGATGCTACTTAATTAAATTCATGTAGTTGCTGTTTATTGACTGATTTAAGAACTATTTAATATATGATTATATTTTAATATATGTAAATTATACTTGTAAACATATTCTATAATTTATGAATTTTATGTTTTCGTATCAGTAAATTATAGGGTTTTAAAGAGAATCTATAAATTACTATTAACTATTGTTTCAGCGGCTAACAAACACGAAGAATCGCAAATTGCTATTACATAGTGCAATGTGAGCCGCCCTTATTTTAAAATCCTTGCACCGCCCTTAGATCCATGAGCATCAAAAAGACCACGAGGACCAGTATCGTGTGAATTGATAATCGATAATTTAGTTGTAGATTTAATTGCATTCACAATTGTTTTTTTTAATTATTGATTATTAATACTAAATCCATAAGCGTCAAAGCTTTTGAATTTTTTATTATACTTATTCTTCGTCGGGTACAATTGTAAGAACTTAATTTTTTTTCTTATATGATTCGATTTGATCCGAACCTGCAACTAGTACTTTTCGAATTGTATTTTATTTTCTATATGTTTTATTTAAATAGTGAACCATGTGGTTTTACGTTCTAAATTCGCCACTGTATAAAATAGTTGTTTTTTAGGTTAACGAACGAAAGTTATTAAAAAAATCAAATTATATAAAGCAAAAGGTGGAAAAGCCACAAACTCATAAACGCATTGACAAAATTACATATAAGGTCCTTATGGTTTACTAGTGATCACAAACTCAGTCTTGAATAACCAAATTACCCTTACTGACAAAACAAGCTAACGACGATAAGAAAAAAGATCATTAATGCAAGTTTTAGAAACTATAAGGATTATATTCATCAAAAAAAATTAAGAATGACTATATTTGTCACTCTTGTTAAACTATATGGACCATTTATATAACTTTGTCTAAAAATGTAACATCCGGAATTCCACGTATCATATTTTAATTATTTATTTTTGTCAAAAGGGGGGACTCGACGAGTTGATGCCTAGACTCGTCGAGTAGGATCGCGATTTGCTGACTGGAATTAATGAAGGGACTCGACGAGTCCGCGTTGTGGGCAGAAACCCTAAATCATCGGGCTTGTGCCCTATTTAAGAGATCTTATGGCCGTCATTTGCGGCCACCTTCACCCTTGAGAGCACCAGAGAACCTGAGAGCGTAGACAGAGAGAGAGAGAGAGAGAGAGAGAGAGAGAGAGAGAGAGAGTGAGAGTGAGAGTGAGGAAGAGAAAGAAAGAGGAAGCCATTTTCATCATCTCTAGTGTGATTTCGCAAGGAAGAAGGAATGAGGGCAAGCTAAACGGCTTAAGGAGCTCAGATCTGCTACCATTTTATCAGAGGAGGCTACTAGAGGAGGAGGCTAGGTCGGGATATTCGAGCACGAGAGTTTATCTGACTTCATTCGAGGTGAGTCTTCTCACTATACTTTACCTAGAGTGGTAATTATGCGTGACCGGAAGGTCTTATGTGCTACGAGTAGAATACGATGTATGCTGTTATATGATATGTATGTGTTATGTATGATATGAGTAGTATGATATGGACCGGAAGGTCAACAGTGTATGGACCGGAAGGTCATGATGATGAGGACCGAAAGGTCATATGGGTAGGGCCAGAAGGTCTACCAGGACTGGGATGGAAGTTCCCTGAGACACATGGATCGGAAGGTCCCATAGAGATATGGCTTTGAGTGGCGTGTGTGTTGTATGTGGTATTTTGGGGAACTCACTAAGCATTTATGCTTACCGTGTTATGTGATATGTGTTTCGGGTACTAGCGAGGATCACGGGAAAGCGCCGGCATGATCTGTACACACTGGAAGAAGAGTTGTTTGAGATTCTGGGATTTGTTATTATTATGACATTTGACATTATGAGATTTTGAGAACTATTATATGAGTTATGGATGTTTTTTTAAAATGAAAATTTGTTTTAAATTTTTATGTCGTTACAATTTGGTATCAGAGTCTTGGTTTGAGGGATTCGGATGCACCTTCGGGTGTATTTGAACTCAAACTGAGGATTTGAGAAAGTTTTCCATCAAAGAAATAATTTTTCTAAAAAGTAAAGGAATGTGAGGAAAGCGGAAAGAGGCAGTGTGTACGATCAGCCAGCGCCCGAACTGTGATTTCCCAAAATGCCCTTACATTATGTGTTATGAGATATGATGTGATATGTTATGCATGCTAGAGTAGGCTAGGTATTCCTATTAGGACTAGAGTAGCTTGATTTGTGATTCCTTAGCCTAGGAGATTACTTCTGCTATGAGATGCTTCGAGAGTGAGTAGGTAGCAGTGAGGAGCTTATGAGAAGTCTACCGGAGGGTAGCCTAAGCTTAGCGAGATGTAGAGTACTTGTGATATGGGATCCTAGGAGGAGGACTTGGAATGAATGTTGATGCGGTGTGGAAGGTAGTATAGGGCCCGTACTACTGAAAACACCGGATCAGTGCGCAGTCCAAGTAAAAATCCTTAAGGTACTAGGGAACAAGTAGGGTTGAGTTAATGAGTACGAGTATACTCGAGCAAGTCTCTGATATTTTTATGTTGTATTTCAGAGACATCATGGTTGGGACACGCCACAGACCAGAGACCAGCGGCGTGAGTGACGGGAGATACGCAGCGATTACTGAGGATGTGGCTGCTGCAGCTACTGCAGCTGTGACTGCTGCTAGACCTCAGGGGGGTGACTCGTTCCTATTTCGGGAGTTCAGCAACACAAAGCCACCAGAGATTAATGGGACGCAGGATCCGATTGCTGCGATGAGATGGATTTCTTATATCGAGGGATGCTTCTACACCTGTTCGTGTCCGGAGCATCTGAGGGTTCGGTTTGCGCTGAACCAGCTTCGCTTAGGAGCGAAGGACTGGTGGAACTTTGTGACGGCAAACTTCACTCTTGCAGAGATATCGGAGGTGACTTGGGAGAGGTTCACCACCATGTTCAGAGACGAGTATGTTCCCCCGGTGGAGAGGGAACGGTTGGCATAGGAGTTCTTGTCCCTCAAGCAGGGGACGGAGTCTATGACTATGATTACACGGATGTTCCACGAGAGGGCGTTGTTTTTCCCTGAGCACGTGTCGTCTGAGCAGGCACACATGAGCCAGTATTTGAGCATTCTGAGGAGGGACATTCTGGAGTTCGTGGCGAACTCGACTTACTGGACATTTGCTGAGCTCCACGCAAATGACCGGAAGAGGGAGAATGAGCTAGAGACTCAGGACAGGGAGGAAGCTGAGTCTCAGATGAGGTACAGGTGACCGATATAGGTACAGCCGGCAGCCAAGCGGGCTAAGCCCGCTGATACGAGATCTGGAGGCCAGAAGGGCCGCACTTGTGGGAAGTGCGGCAAGGGACATGAGGGTGTGTGTCGAGCGGGTGCTTGCTACAAATGTGGCAAGGAAGGTCATGTAGCCAAGGACTGCCCCAAGGGATTTATGGTTCGCTTTCATTGCAACCAGACGGGTCACCGGAAGGCCGAGTGCCCACAGCTGTTACAGGGATCAGCGTAGGGATCTGCCCCTACTACTGCAAGAGTTGCTGAGGGTCGGCCAGTAAAGGCCGAGGCACCAAAGGCTCGCGGGAGAGCCTTCTAGTTGACAGTGGAGGAGGTCCGCGCAGTGCCTGATGTCGTGGCTGGTATGTATTCTTTTATTTATTTATGCTGAGTTGAGATATTGTGCTTATATTATGATATGCATAGGTACTTTTCTTGTGAGTTTTGTACCTGCTTTGGTGTTATTTGACTCGGTTGCGAGTTGATCATTTGTGTCGTTAGCGTTTAGTCAGCACATCAGTATTCGACGAGAGGCGTTGAGTCGACCTCTATGAGTTTCCATAGCTGACAAGCGAGCGGTGTATGCTACTGACGTGATTCGAGGATGTGTACTCGAGATCTTCGGTGTTGAGTTCTCGATAGACCTAGTTCCGATTGCGATGGGGGACATTTGCGGTATAGTGGGCATGGATTGGTTGAGGCGATTTGGGGGGATTATAGACTGCGAGCGGCAGATGGTGTCGATACGAGACCCTAGTGGGGGAGTGCTGACTGTATATGGCGAGGGTACCCGACGTGGGTCAGCATTTTGTTCGGCTGCCAGAGCGAGACAGAGTTTACAGCAGGGCTGTAGCGGGTTTGTAGCTTATGTGATGGATACACGAGTGGCCGATCCTTTTTGTCAAGAAAAATGATGGTTCACACCGGATGTGCATTGATTACCGGGAGTTGAACAAGTTGACGGTCAAGAACCGTTATCCATTACCGAGGATCGATGATCTGTTCGATCAGTTACAGGGAGCATCTTGGTTCTCCAAGATAGACTTGAGGTTTGGATATCACCAGATGAGGGTGCGTGATGAGGATATCCAGAAGACGGTGTTTAGGACTCGTTACGGGCATTACGAGTTCGTGGTGATGCCTTTCGGGCTCACCAATGCACCAGCAGCATTCATGGATCTCATGAACAGAGTATGCAGACCGATGTTGGATCGACCGGTGATCGTGTTCATCGATGATATTCTGGTGTATTCGAGATCCCGAGAGCAGCATGAGGAGCATTTGAGGGAGATCCTCGGGGTTTTGAGATCGGAGAGGCTTTACGCCAAATTCTCCAAGTGTTATTTCTGGTTACGAGAGGTCCAGTTCTTAGGGCATCTCGTTAATCAGAATGGGATATTGGTCGATCCGGCCAAGATTGAGGCGGTGATGAGTTGGGAGGTGCCGAGATCCCCCACCGAGATCAGGAGTTTTCTAGGGTTGGCCGACTACTATCGGAGATTCATCA